AAGTGAAATAAATAGGACACACATGTGTAAATACCGAAGTTTCTCTAGTGTGAGAAACTGAAAGTGTAAATAAGGATGAAAATGATTAAAATGAATAATTGATAATTTGAAATAGGAAAAGATCCAAAGGTGTATGGGTGGCGGGAGGGGAAGGGGAGAGGGAAGAAGGGAAAGGAAAAATTATGAGAAAGAAAAAAAAATGGAAACAAAGTCTATGTAAATCGGGAAGGGTGGTGGGGGTGAAGGGCGCACAGGTAATGGGGGAAAAAATAAGAACTAAGATACATCATGTTCTGGTACAAACACCCAGTGATAAATGTAAATGTATTGTATACCTAAAATGTATCAATTAATATGCAAATAAAAAAATGATGATGATGATGATGATAGATTCTTTGTGCCTTGAATTTTAAGTTTTTTGGGTTTTTTTGGTACCAGGGATTGAACTCTGGTCCTTGCGCTTGCGCAGCAGGCAGTGAAACCACTGAGCTAAATCCCCGGCCCTTGAATTTTAAGTTTTACAAAGTAACTTTATTAACAAATCATAATCAAATAAAATGTTCAACATTAAAAAAAAAATTTCTAGTCTGATTATACAAGTGCCCATAATTGTCAGAGTTGTTTTCGGAAAACAGTTTTTGCATATTCTCCTAAATACTGGTACTTGGAAAGAATTGACCTGCTACATAAATTTAGAGCATTCCAGGCATGGACACCTGTAATCCCCCAGCACTGGAGAGGCTGAGGCAGGAGGATTACCATGAGTTCAAGGCTACCCTGGACTACATAGTGAGTTCAGTCTTGATTTTTTTTTGGTACCAGGGATTGAACTCAGGACCTTGCGATTTCGAGGCAGGCGCAGTGCCACTGAACTAAATCCCTGGTCCTGCTACATAGTGAGTTAAAGGCCAGCCTGAACTTTACATAGCAAGACCCTGTCTCAAAAAAAAAAAAAATTTTTTTTTTTTTTGTAACAAACTCATTGGCCAGCAGACCTTGAATTTATGTGATACTTTTCTGAGTTCTTACTAATCTTTTCCAATGGGAATAATCATACATTTTCTGCAGAATTATTAATGGTTTTGATTATAGGATGCTAGCTAAGATCCTGATGAGATTGTCTTGTAATGATGTAAGGTTTATATTTCCTTTTTCTAATCTGAAAAATTGTGCTTCTGGAACATTTCTGATTCAGGAAATTTCAGACATTGTGAACCTATCCTGCTTCCCAGGGGCCTTGGAGTCAAATCTTAGGATAGCCTAGCCTCTGCCTTTTTTAGTCTTGTCTTCTGTCGCTCTTAAGAACTAGACAATGCCTGTATATACCCTCTTCTTGATGTCATGTATTTTACTTAGGTGTTAATAGTGTAAATAGAACCCCTTTCTCTACCTCTTTGGCTCTCACACTAGTCTGAGCCCCACCATCTTTTCTCACCTTTAGTGTGACACCTTCTTCCTCATCCCATGGCTTCCCATCATCGTTAGAAAAAAGTCCAGAACCCTTCCAATGTCTGTAAGAGCCTTTATGATGTGGCCCCATGGTCTGTCTACAACCTTGATTCCTGTCATTCTTCCCTTTGTGCACAGGTCTTCATCCTGTCTCTGAAACATGCCTAGTACTTCATGCTTATGCAATTCCTGATTTGTTAGCTGGGATGCTCTGCTCTCAAATATTTGTGTTTGTCCTTTTTTAGATTTTTATTCAAATAGGACATCCTCAAAAAGGGGGTTTTATTTTTATGATCACTCTAAAAAATATATTCTCTATCATCCTTGATCCTTACCATGCTCCATTTTTATCACTTTAGTTTTGTTTTGGTTTGGGGTTTTTTTGGCCAGTATGTGGTATTGAACTCAGGGTCTACATACTGAACCACCTGTCCCCCTCCTTTTGAGACCGGGTCTTGCTAAGTTGCTCAGGCTAGACAGGAAATTATAGTTCTTCTGTCTTGGCCTCCCAGAGTGCTGGGATTACAGGTTGCACCACCGTGCCTGGTGCTTGTTGACATATATCTACTTGTCTGTTTCCTCCCCCTCCATAAGGGAGGGAGTGTTGTATTTATAGTATTGCTGTATTTCAATACCTTAGCAAATACCTGTTGAGTGACTTTGTTTTGTGGTTTGTTTGAGTTTTTTTGGTACAGGGATCAAACTCAGGACCTTGTGGTTGTGAGGCAGGGGTTGGCACCACTGATCTAAATCCCCGGGCCCCTGTTGAGTGAATTTGTGCAGGATGGGTTGGAGCCTATCTGTTCAGTAGATTTGAGGCTCACTGTGAGGTTTCACTTCCATGCATTTTGTGGAAACCAAAATTACTTTCCTGTTATTTTGTTTTTTTATGATTCAGCAAGCTCCGCTATTCTGTATCATCAGGTTTACTGTCTCCCTTAACAGGCTTCGGGCTTCCCGTGTGCTTCTTGTTGGCATGAAAGGACTTGGAGCTGAAATTGCCAAGAATCTCATCTTGGCAGGAGTGAAAGGACTGACCATGCTGGATCACGAACAGGTGCGCTCTTGCCACCCTATTGCTGCCCTCCTCTTTGCTCTGCAGATTTTGTGATTGCTTACTTGTGCTGTGAAAGGAAGGGTGTAGTTAGTGGAACTATATAGCCTTTGGAGATTCAAGGTGTTGGCGTTGGCTTTGAATTCCAATTGTATCGCATTCTAACTGGATGACACTGGAGACGCAAGGTCACCAAACTGAGGTTGCTAGTTTGTAAAATTGAGTTATAACATCTCCCTTAGGAAAGTAGTTGTAAGGAGTAAAAAAATGGTTTTCCAGTATGTGCCTAAAAATCATGTGAATAATGGAAAATGCAGAGTGGGCCATCTGGGCTAGCTTCCTTGCTTACTTATTTTTCTAACCAATAGACAACCAGGAAATTAATGAAAAAATTTAAAACTCACTTTATGTGGGTGTTCAGGAAGATCTGGAAGTATTACTTTTGTAAAAATATTCTACTTCAGGGCCAGGGATTTAGCTCAGTGGTGCTGTGCCTGGCTTACAAGGACAAAGTCCTGGGTTTGATTCCCCGGGACAAAAAAAATTCTACTTCAAGTGGGGCACAGTGTGTATTGCCTATAATCCCAGGGAGGCTGAGGCAGGAGGATTGCAAGCTCAAGGCAAGCCTGGGCAATTTAGTGAGGCCTGTCTCAAGGTAAAAAAATAAAAAGGGATGGGGATGTAGCTCAATGTGAGGTCCTGGGTTCAACCCTCAAGTCTTCTTATTGGTTGATTATAATTTGACCCATATTGTACCCACCCCTCATGACTTTGTTTTATAAAACTTTCAGGACCCCTCCTGTCTCTGAGGAGCTATTCTTTTTCCCCATTCCTATTTCCCAATAAATTTTCCTACTCTTTAAAAAAGGAAAGTTTTGGGGCTGGGGATTTAGCTCAGTGGTTCCGGCGCCTGCCTCGCAAGCAGAAGGACCCAAGTTCGATCCCCGGTACCAAAAAAAAGGAAGAAAGTTTTCATCCAGTCTTGTGGGTGCTAAAAGTTCATTAAACAGTTTCAAATGGGGGGAGAAGGTAACCTAATCAGCTTTGGGCTTTATCATTAATAAAGTAGATCATTACCATGGGGATGGGTCGCTAATCAAGATCCAGGGCCAGGGACTTAGCTCAGTGGTTTCACCGCCTGCTGCGCAAGCACATGAACCTGAGTTCAGTCCCCCAGTACCACAAAAACCAAAACAAAACAAACTATTCAAGATCCAATAAACAGATTTGTTTGAGTAGATCACTGATCATTGTGTGAATTATGTTCAGTACAAGATACATGGCAGAAGGCCACTTAGATGGCTGCTTTAGTATACTGTGTAGAAGAGGTAAAGAGGGTCTGAACAAAGATCTTGGTGATAGAGATGACAAGAAAAAGCACGTGACTGTGAGAGAGAAACTTAGGTGATATAATCCTCACACGTGTACATATTGGAGTTTAAGAAGAGGCAGGAATAGCTGCAGAACTGACATTTTACTGAAGGTTCTCGGCCCTGTTCTGCAAGATGTAGTTGTGTTGTTTAGTTCTCATGGCAACTGGAACTTATCATCCCTGTTGTACAGAAAACTGGGAAAGGAAGTGAAGTCCTACTCCACATAGGTCTCACAGTAGTGTTGTGTCTAGGTCCTGCCCAGTGACTCAGAGCCCATGCCCTTAGCTACCATGCTGTGCAGCTGCAGTCAGGGAAATATAAATGATATGAAGACCCGGTTTCTGGTTTGGGTGACTGGATGGATGGTTGGTGGCAAATATAGACAGAGTCAATCATGAAGGCCGAAGCTGGGAGTTGTGCTAACTGCAGATTTGGGTAGACACTAAAAGAGGTATTGATTTAGTTTATGGAGCCATATACAGAGTGAAAAGATGAGTGGTTCTGAGATGGGATCCTAGGGACAGTTTGTACTAAGAGGGGCATATAGAGACTGGACTGCCTCTTGAGAGAGGAGGAGAGCCGGGATCGAGAGGCCAGGGGAGTAGAGGAATAGAGTGTCATGAGGAAGGTGTATGTGGGCTGACGGTACTGACTAGCATTGGTGAGGCTCAATGAGTATATGCTCTTTTGCTGTTTTTGGTTTTGTTTTTTTTGAGTCAAGGTCTCACTGTGTAGTTCAGGCTGGGTTTGAAACCACTATGTAGCCCAGGCTGACCTCCCAGTCCAGCAACCCTCCTGCCTCAGCCTTTCAAGTGCTGGGATTACAGGTGTGTACCTGATCTGGCTGGCGTATATCCTTTTATTAACATCTAATTTTGCACATGCATTTAAGTATATGTAGTTCCCCTAATTGACTGAAGGTCACATGGTGAGTAGTTGAACCAGGTATTTGGAGGTTTTTTGTTGTTGTTGTTGGGTTTTGGTTTGTTTGTTTGTGGTTTTCTTTGGTACTAGGCATTGACCCAGGGAGTGCTGAGATACATTCCCAGCACTATTTTTTTGTTTTTTTGTTACTGGGAATGGAACTCTGGACCTTGCGCTTGTGAGGCAGGCAGCGGAACCACTGAGCTAAATCCCTGGCCCTCCAGCACTATTTTTTAAATTTGATCTTGAAACAGTCTTGCTAAGTTCTGCAGGCTGGCCTCACACTTGCATTTCTCCTGCCTCATCTTCCCAAGCAGCTGAAGTTGGGCATGGTGGCATGTGCCTGTAATCCCAGCACTTGGGAGGCTGAGGCAGGAGAATTGTTGTGAGTTCGAGGCCAGCCTGGGCTACATAGTGAGTTCAAGGCCAGCCTAAACTATATGGAAAGACCCTGTCTCAACAAACAAACAAGTACCTGGGATTACAGGCATGTGCCACTATGCCTGGCTAAAGCAGTGTTTGTATTATTTCAGGGCCCTTCCTCTTAAATACTGTGACAACTGGCCTCCTACAGAGTGGAGATCCCTGAAGAAGTAGGATGGGATGGGTCAAGGATAGCGCTACAGGGTTGGATTGGACTAGGAGAACCAGCACATTTTTTGCAGGAAAGGTTGTGAGGAAGAGTGTGGTAGGGATTATTGGTAGGAGAGATTGCTTCTATTGAACCTAGTCTTAGGGAAGGTGGTGAAATCATTGGCAGAGATGAATGGTTAAATTAGATGCTGGTATGTGAAGAAATGCTTTGTGAGCAGTATGGAATCGCTAGTCTTGGTAGCTGTCAAGGGCTTATTGTGTTCCATTTTTGAGGCTTTGTTCTGCTGACATCCAGCCTTATGTTGAGGTCCACACTCCAGCCTCCACTCATCTCTCCTCTGAATTATAATTGAGTTTAAAAGTTCATTTCAAGTATTCTTAATTGTGTCTGATTTTTGCATTGGTCTGATTTTTTTTTTTTTTTTTTTTTAAACAGTGTCTCACTATGTATTTCAGGCTGGCCTCGAACTCACTGCAGTCCTCCTGCCTCAGCCTCCTGAGTGCTAGGATTACAGGCCTGTGCCACCACACCTGGCTTTGCATTGGTCTAATTTTAAGCCACCTGTAGACCTGTAGGCAAGGATTGGATCCTCATGTATTTCTCTGAATGCTTAGGTTTGGGTACATGGTATATATTTATACTAGTCAGTTCTGTGTTCTTACCACTGTAACCAAAATCTGGTTTGTTTTTTTGTTTTTGAGACAGGATCTTGCAAGGCAGCAGGGTGGCCTCGAACTCTCAGCCATCCTCCTGCCTCAGCCTCCCGAGTGCTGGGATTACAGGCGTGTGCCACCACACCTGGTAAAATCTGTGTTCTTACCAGTGGTAGCCAGTCATTTTGTTAGAAGCTAGAAATGTAAGCAAATTTTAATGGAAGAAGAAAGGCCCAGAGCAAATTTCCCTTATAAACACAAGGGGGTGCTCTTTAACCATTAACGACTAGTTTGAAAAAGTTAACTGTCCTGTTTTAAATCTCAGAAGAGAGTATAATCTGTATTAGGCAGATTGCACCGGAAACAGTAATACAATTTGATGGTAGTATTTTAGCTATCCTTTATTTTTGTTTTTTGGGGGTTTTTTTTGGTACTGGGGATCAAACTTGGGACCTTGTGCTTGAGAGGTAAGTGGCGGAACCACTGAGCTAAATTCCTGGCCCAGCTATCCTTTAAAATAGGAAGTTCATTGTCTTTGAAATTTATTTTCCAGAAAAAAAAAATCAAGAATAAAGAAAAAATTATTCCTAGGTATCTTCAGGTGATCCTGGAGCTCAGTTCCTGATTCGAACTGGGTCCATTGGCCGAAATAGAGCTGAAGCCTCTTTGGAAAGAGCCCAGAATCTCAACCCCATGGTGGATGTGAAAGTGGACACTGAGGATATTGAGAAGAAACCTGAGTCATTTTTCACTCAATTTGATGCAGTAAGTTCTTACTGTAAAGCTTGCTAGGGGAATTAAGCAAATTAAAGCACTGGTTGTAGGTGTTTTAGAGCCTTCAAATCTTAAATTCTGAACTTTTTCTCAAGTAAATTTTTAAGCTGCTCTTTTCTAGCTGAGTATATCCCATGAATATGTTGCTAGGTAGATCCCATCTGTTGGACCTGCTGTGGTTGTAATGAGTTGTCTGCTGGCTTCTCTGGGCATATGTCCTCCAAAGCACGTTTCAGCATTGGTATTTTGACTTCCTTCTAGAATCTTTGCACATAGCTTTGATATATAGTATTATAAATGTTTTCTCTGCAAAACATAACAAGTTGTTAACTTCAGTGGCAGAAGCACTTTTTTTTAGAAATACTGTATCAAACTACAGCTCATGTTTAGTTTTAAGAAAGAACATACCTTATCTTGACCTGTGGCTGCCTCATTTTCACAATCGCTTTGACTATGGATAACAAGGCAAACTCAATATAGTCATAAGTCCAAAGGCCCAGGGTATAGCTCAGTAGTGCAGCACCTGCCTGGCAAGCCTAAGGTCCTGAGTTAGATACCTGGTACCAAAAAAAAAATAAAAAAGAATATAAGCCCAATGAGGCATAGCCAACCTCATTTACTTTCACTGACAGTTCTATGCAGAGGTGAAAGAATAAGTTAAATTCTCTGTAAGTGCCTGATCTTTCAGAAATAGTACCCTGAATCCTGGGAAAGCTTAACAAATCCAGGGTAACAGTGAAGGGTCATGAAGGAGGTACTTGTTTTTAAGTGAAAGGCCTATTACATACGAAGTTAGAATTTGGGTTGGCTAGTTTGGTTTTTGGGCTTTTTTGGTACCCGGGATAGAACTCGGGACCTTGTACTTGCGAGGCAGGCGCTGGAACCACTGAGCTAAATCCCTGGCCCAAAGTTATTTTTTTGTTTTTGTTTTTGTTTTTTTGGTACTGGGGATTGAACTTGTGTCCTTGCGCTTTCTCAGCAGGCGGTGAAGCCACTGAGCTAAATCCCCGGCCCTTGGCTAGTTTGTTTTTTCACACTGCTTTTTTGCTGTTTTATTTTGGAGACAGGGTCTTGTTATATAGTTCAGATTGGTCTTGAACTCCTTATGTATTGTAGGCTGGCCAAAAACTTGTGATGATCCTCCTGCCTCAGCTTCCCAAGTGCTGGGGTTACAGACGTGCGCCACCAGCCCCAGCATCATCACACTGTTGTATTTTATAGTATGCATACATCTGTCCAACATGGAATTGGGATGATGGATCTGTGCCTTTGCCCTTTTTCCTCAGTCCCTTCTATTTTATAACTCCAGATATTGCGGCACTCTCCATTTGCTAAGTCTTCTCTTAATTTCCTTATGCATTGTAACCACATTTGGTTTATTTGAGATGTCCCTTAAACTTGTAGATTTAGAGACAAGGTTTGTAAGAACAGATCAGTATGGCCAGGTAACACACGTGCATGGGATGAGGGTGACTTCTCTGTGGGTCATGTTTGGTTGGTCCGCACAGGAGTTCTAAGCACTTTTGACTCTGCGGGGTTTTATTTCATCATTTGGTTGCATGTTCACGGTGGCTTTCTTGTCTTTTAGATGTCATTTTTCCTTGGGTGGCTGCATCCTTTGAAACACCAAAGGAACACATTTCTGGGTGTTTTTCTTCTTTTTTCTTTCTGTGAGTGTTATTTCAGTACCCAGTCTGCTAGACAACAGCAAAGAGACTATCAACTGAACATGGCCTTATGTTCAAGAGAAAGCATGTGCAGTTTAGAAGCTTGCTTCCCTCCCTCCCTCCTTCCTTCCTTCCTCACTACTGGGAATTGAACCTAGTGCCTCACTAAGCCAATGCTGTACCCCTGAGCTACACCCCTAGCCCAAAGTTATCTTTTTTTTTTTTGGTACTGGGGATCGAACTCAGGACCTTGCACTTGCAAGGCAGGCACGGTGCCACTGAGCTAAATTCCCAGCCCCCAAAGTTATCTATTTATTTTTTTGTTTGTTTTTTGGTACCAGGGATCAAACTCAGGACCTTGCGCTTGCAAGGCAGGCGGCAACTGAGGCGGCTCAATTACCACTGAGCTAACTCCTCAGCCCCCCAAAGTTATCTTTTGATGGTGATCACAAAGCTTCTTCTAAAAAGATGGTGTTTTATGCAGTAAAACTTGGCTATTTCCAGCATAGCAGGCTATTGGAACATAACCTACAGGTTGCAGAACAACACTGATAACTCCACTGAGTGAATCACTGGTTTATTGTCTTAAGTTAGAATGGAAGGTTGCTTGCCCTATAACCTCTTCTTTTGTTCTTTAATTCAGATAAAGTTTCACACCAAAATCTGTGGAAAAATCTCAACAGGATTTATCTTCTTAACATATCAATCAAGAGAAGGAGGAATGCTCTCCTATTGAAATATGACCTTTGGGTCAGTTTAAAAAAATGTTTTTGCTTCTCACCATAGCTTCTTTGAATTTTAATAGATTTAGTCTCTAGTTTAGAGATAGCTTGCTGAATTGCTATCTTTTTCATGACAACTGTGTAGTTAGTATATATTCATGGATTAGGGGAAACATTCACTAAATGGGTTTTACTTTTTTATTTTAATGGCTTTTACTTTTGTAGCTAAACATTTCTTTTGGTTGCAGAAGGTGACTGACACATAATTTACAATTTCTGCACACTGAAACCTGTAGCTTCTCTTTCGTCTTCTACTCAGAGCACGCAAAGAACCTGTTGTACCAGTTTGAAACTGGCTTTCAACATGCCCTGAGAGACTGAGTGTTCATTAAGGTTTATTTAGACATTACGGCAGTGATTCACAGTTTGCAAAACTCACACCCAGCCAATTTCTTTCTTTCTGCAGGTGTGTCTGACATGCTGCTCCAGGGATGTCATAGTTAATGTTGACCAGATCTGTCACAAAAACAGCATCAAATTCTTCACAGGGGATGTTTTTGGCTACCATGGATACACATTTGCCAATCTTGGAGAGCATGAGTTTGTAGAGTAAGTTGAGCGTGGAAGGGAGAATGGAATATTTCCAAGTTTAGTTTTATTTATTGGTAGGAATGATAGTATCTAAGAAAAGTATTTTACTGTAATACTTAGAACATCCTCAGACCAAGCCATTGACAACTTACTGAATACAATAGGGTGTGGGTTCAAAATTGTAGGAGGTATGGCCCCTGCCCTCCAAAATGAGTCTGATCATCTAAAGCCTAAAGCAAGTGGAGTTGTACCATGAGTGCATCACGTGAGTATTTGATCAGTCTGGCGTTCAGGTGTTGAACCTACATTTTCAGCACAGGAAAAGGACTCTTTCAGTTTGAGGGATAATTAGATGGATAGCCCTGGAGCTTATACAACAGAGATCTACGTTGGAAAAGCTTCCGTGTCCATTCATATTACTCTAGTGGAACGAACAGACCTTCTCCTTCATCTCAGACACTGAGGCTGCAGACTGGTAATTCTCACATGATGGGACCTGTACTGTTTTGAATTTGTAGCTTCTGCGTGAAAGATGGCAGGTGATGCAGCATTGTAAAACTATGTGAGTTGGCTCTTTTGGCTGTAGTTTCTGACACATACTCTCTCCCCCACCCCAACTTGCTAATGAGAGGTAAAGAGAGACTGGGGTGGAGTGGGGTAAAGCTTCCTACCCAGAGCAGTTCTCAGCTCTCTTTTGTTCAGCCTCTCAGGGAAGTAATCAAAATTTCTCTTGCCAGTAAATTAAAAATGAAGGGAGGAGAAATGTGTTCAAAATGTCTCCTAATTCGAGCATTGTATGGCTTTGGAAATATCTAGTTCTTTGGATATATTATAAATAAAGTTACAGTAAGGAGAAGCAAGCTAGGTTAACATAGCCTTGCCACAGCAGAAGGAAGGAATTAAGGTTGGATTGCTTTTGTTTTTGTTTTTTGAAACAGGGTCTGGTTATGTAGTTTAGGCTGGCCTTGAGCTCACGGTGATCCTCCTGTCTCAGCCTCCAAGTGCTTGGATTACAGGCGTGGGCCACCACACAAGGCTGGATATTTATTTTATGATTCCAGTAGAATGGTCTAAAGTAATTGCTTGCTTGCATTTATTTGTTTGTTTGTTTATTTATTTGTTTGTTTATTTGTTTGTTTATTTATTTTTTGATACCAGGAAATTGAACTTGGGACCTTGTGCTTGTGAGGCAGGTGGCAGAACCACTGAGCTAAATCCTTGGCCCCATGCTTTCATTTATTGAGTTTATATGTGCAGGGCGGTATGCTGAGTAATTTATATTATTACACTTGTTTCATTAATGGTGTTGGGGACTGTTGTTCCCACAGAGTGGGTCACTGATTTATCAAGTATTTTGTGACAGGGTTGGGATTTGAACCCACTATTTGATTTCAAAGAGTTTGCTCTTTACACAACATCCTACTTGGAGCTGGTAATACTTTTTTAAAAAAAATGATGGCAAGATTCATGATAGTAGAACTCGATTCCCTCCCCTTGTCATCCTCTAGGGAGAAAACCAAAGTTGCCAAAGTTAGCCAAGGAGTAGAAGATGGACCTGACACCAAGAGAGCAAAACTTGATTCCTCTGAGACTACAATGGTCAAAAAGGTGCAGTACTTGTCACTCGGGGAGCAGGGGGAGGTCAGAAACCCTGGGGCTTAATTGGAGCTGGGCCTTGTCAATTGCAAATGAGAAAAGCAACCCAGTGAAGCAGTTTTGAGGGGAGGGCCCATCCTTTTCCCACCCTATGTGCTGCCTGTTACCTAGTGCCAATCAACTGTTACTCTGAGGGAAGGAGTTCCAGATGTGAATTTTCAAGAGAATCACAAATGCTGATTTTTATATGCACTGGCCCAGATTTTTTAACACTGGCAGCCTGCTGAAATTGCTTTGAACCCTGTTTGTTCAACACTGTGGAGGCCAAACAGAACACACCATTGGGGCTTATTTGGACTACCAGTTTTGACCTCTGGTGCATGGAGTAGTATCAGAAAGATTGTTGTGAGCAGAAGCTGTTACTTTTATACAAATAATTTTTTTCAGATAGACAATTTGATAGTCCTAAGTGTACAGGAGCCACTTTATACCTCCCCTCATTGAATTGAGGACTAGGCAAGTGCTCTGCCACTGAGCTGTATATCCCTAGTCCTCTTTAAAAAAAAAAAAAAAAATTTTCCGTAGTCTTTTTTTAAATTTGTATTTTCAGATGGGGTCTCAGTAAATTTCCTGGGCTGGCTTCAAACTTGTGAGCCTCCTGACTCAGCCTCTCTAAATAGCTTGATTATTGGCAATGTGCCACCATACCCTGGCTGATTTCTTTTATCAAATAATATTTAATAATACTTACTATAAATAAATACGTGTGTGTATACATATGTATAGAAAGAAAGGGAGTGTGTGTGTGTGTGGTGGTCCTGGGGGTTGAACCCACAGCTTTGAGCTTCTAAGCAAGCATTCTACCAAGGATCTACATTCTCAGTCCTCTTTTTTAGTTTCTTATTATTTGGATTTTTTTTGGAGACAGTCCCACTAAGCTGCTTGGGGCAGTCTCAAATTTATGTTCCTCTAGTATCTGGAATTACAGGAATACCCACCTCACCTTTGGCTGTACTGAAGATTAAACCCAGTATCACTCGACCACTGAGCAAGGTCCCTAGCCCTTTTCTATTTTGAAACAGGGTCTCTTAAGTTATGAAAGCTGGCCTCAAATTTGTGATCTTCCTGCCTCAGCCTCCTTAATAGCTGAGATTTCACATCTCTGCTACCATGCACAATTTAGTTATATGCTTTGTAATGTGGTTTATTTTAGGGGTTTGGATCTGGTGAATGAACTAAATTTATTTTAAGGAGTGGGAAAAGGATCAGAAGTCGAAGGTTTCCGTAGTTAGTATTGGAATCTGAGAAGGGAATCATGAGATGGGAAAAACAATTTGAAGTGGCCTGAATTGGTTTTGTTGAACGGAGAGGAAAGACATGACCAAGCCCATATTTACTTTTTGCTTTGTAGATTTAAATGTTGAGGAAAAAAACCCAGCTGGTCATAATGTCAAGTTAAAATTGCTCTAAAGGGGGCATTCTAAAGAGTGCAGAAACCACAAAAGAGACTTGCAGAAAGCCACAAAAGTGGAACTCTTAGCGGCTCCAGTAAGACAGCACTGAAGATTTTCTTTCTTTTGCTTTTTGTGTTTGTATTGGAATAGCTTGGTGCTGTGAGTGTGATACAGCAGAATTATTAAGCCCTAATTTTAGTGTCTGTTCATAGGACCGCAATTATCCAGAGTTGAACATTGGTGTTTTGGCTAAAACTTTGGTTCTTTTCTTTCTCAAACACCGCCCCCCCCCCTTTTGTAGGCTCAGTCAAGCAGTCAGGCTTCATCTGAATAGCTCCTTGAGTTTGATGGGGGGGAGATAAATTGTTAACAAACGGAGGAGTACAAAAGCAGCTTTGTGGGTGCTGTCAATTTATAAATCACACCCTCTTACAAGTGTGACACTTGGCCTTGGTGTGCGGGGGTTTTATGGCTTAAGGGCTTCTCTGCTTGAGGCACTCTTTTACATTCAAATGCAGAGCCCCTAGCTTTGTTAGCCATTCACAGCTGGAAGTTTCCCTAGATACAGTTCTGATGGTGCCCACTGGGGTGGATCTGGAAACCTCTTTTGGGAGCCACTTTATCTCACTACGAGGAGAATGTGGCACCCACAGCAGGCGCTCACCATTCCTCAGGGAAGTACAGTCTGAGCTTTTTGTGCAGCCTCTTCCTACATGGGGCCGAATTTGAAGATATCAAAATATTCCCCAGCTGACATTGTTAGTCAGCTGTTAACACTTGTACAATTCAAGCCTGGATTCCAACCCCAAGCCCGCAAGGTTGCGAGACATTCAATACATTCCTGATGACAATCCCTGGGATTCCAAACCTTGTCTTTGTGTGGCCTTACCAAGAGCACTCTAGAAGGGCTAGGGCGAACTGAGTTTTAGCTATGGCTTTATCACTTTATAATAACATGCCTTCTCCAGTTTGGCAGAAGTGGCCTTGTGATTTTGACGTTATGCTTGAACTCAAAAATTCTGGATTCAGATTCAACCCTTTTGCCTAAATTGTACAGAATAACTAGTTGGATTATGCAGAGAATACAGAATGGGGGTGGGATAGAAGCCACTTCCTGGTTCCTGTGAAAGATTTCTGGTTAGAGTTCCCTTCCCCTCCCCCCATCCCTAGGTTAAACCAAACGTTACAAAGCCACTTTTGCTTCAAGGTACACTTTGTGCTCCTAAATTAGAAACTTTAAAAAACAAAGAGGAATAACAGAAGTTGTGGTTTTCACACCATCTAGGAAGATACTGGGCTTTTTTAGCACATGTGCCATCATGATAAATAAGGCAGTAGGAAAATGCCTAGGCTACTTGTAATTTGTTTGCTTCCTTTAGTCCCCAGGAGAAGTCATAAGACAGATTTCATCAGAATTGAGTTGTCGGGCCAGGGATTTAGCTCAGTGATTTCACTGCCTGCTGCGCAAGTGCAAGGACCCGAGTTCGATCCCTGGTACCAAAAAAAAAAAGAATTGTCACAAGCCTGTTACAGACACTGCTGTGCAGCAGATAAAGGAGAGCAATGAAGTGGGCATTGTGACACAAGCCTGTAATCCCAGCAGTCTTGGAGGCTGAGGCAGGAGAATTTTGAGCTTGAGCCCAGCCTGGGCAGTTTGCCCAGCATGGGCAATTTTGAGACTGTTTCAAAATTACAAAAAAAATTTTTTTTTTTGGTACCGGGGATCGAACTGAGGTCCCTGCACTTGCTCAGCAGGCGGCGAAACCACTGAGCTAAATCCCGGCCCACAAAAAGAATTTTTTAAAGGGGCTGGGGCTGTGTAGCTCATGAGGGCCCTAGGTTCAGTCCCCAGTACCACCAGAGAGAGAGAAGGATAGAGGGCAATGAAGTGTTAGTGAGGAAGTATCCAGAAAAGATTTTCCAGGGGAAATGTTTGAGTTGGCATGAGAGGTGCAAATTTGGTAGTCATCAAACCTAGACAAATATTCCTCCAGAGAAGGATAAACAGAATGATAGATGCAGGGGCAGAGTCACTTTATCTTTCCTCACCCCAAAACAGCCAGCTCTATGAGCTACAAAACGCCTATTGTATGTGTGCAAGGCCCTGTGTGGCGTACAGGGAAGCACATCTGGTCCTGGTGCCTGGATCCTCAGCTGATGGAGAGGCCTGAAGTGCACCTGCTTAGGTGCCCCAGCTGTGGAGGAAGTTAGTTAGGATAGAAGTGAGGACTAGGCAGGAGACCTGCGCTGGACTTCATTGCTGAGTGCATCCTAAAGTCTTCTGCCTGATGAATCCTTCCCATGCCTCTTACTGACTCATTCTGAAAATGCTTTTTGTGCAAACATGCAAACTTTTTCTACAGAAGAGTGGGATAGATTCGTTATTTCAGCCTGGGGACCTCTCAGATTCAGCCTAGTGACAGAAGGAATGAGTGGGGCGAGAGTATAGAGTGTGGTCAAGGGTACCAGCTCCAATTGTGATTTACAAGGTGAGTCCCCTGAGAGTTTGTAGGGTAACCTGAAGTTTTATAAGGATGATGGAAAAAAAATATGAAAACTGGAGTCGTTCTGGAGAACTTTTAGGATAAAAGGTCACTGTCACACACCCATATTGTTGCTCTTGGTTCTGTTTTGTGGATTGTCCATGTTATTAGGGAATGTTGGAAATGATTTTTTTTTTTTGAGACAGGGTCTCTATATAGTGCAGGCTGACTTTGTACTCACTATATACCCCAAGGTGGCCTTGAACTCACATCAGTCTTCCTGCCTCAGCCTCCCAGATGCTGGGATTACAGACGTGCACCATGTCTGGCTGTTGGAAATGATAAAAAACCTGACAATGCCTACTGTATCATGGTCTTTAAAATGTAGATATGCCAAGTGGGATTTATTCACGATGTACCAAGAATTACAGATTTGTTTTTACCTCTGCTTCTGAAATACTGAGTGTCTAATTTGGGGGACTTCAGTACTCTTTCATGAATTAGTTGAGAAATTCCATAGTTGAGGAGTGATTTTTCTTTTTTCTCTTTTGATTGCAGTAAGATTGAAAGAGAATACTAAGCTAATACTAAGCTAAATCTCTTGCCTTCTTTTCTTTCTTTTTTTGCAGCACTGGGAATTGAACCAAGGGCTGGTTCCCCAGCCATTTAAAAAAATTTGTATTTAGAGACAGGGTCCATCTGTGTTGTCCAGACTGACCTCAAAATTAAGATCCTCCTGCCTCCCAGAGTGGTGAAATTGCAGGCATGTGCCACAGTGCCCAGCAGTTCTGAGGGCAGCCCCTCCCCCACTTTATTGGAAATTGAACTCAGGACCTTGAGCTTGCCAGGCAGGCATGGCACCACTGAGTTACATCCCCCGCCCTCTGAAGTTTTGGGTTTTTTTTAAGCCTTGCTTTGTTTTTAATTTTTTTTTTTTTGGTACTGGGGATCGAACTCAGGTCCTTGCACTTTCAAGGCAGGCGGCAGAACCACTGAGCTAAATCCCTGGCCCTGTTTTTAATTTTTAGAAGCAGCAATAGTAGGTTTGTGTAGTTGGAACCAAAGTAGTCATTAATTGGAGGGATATTGGAGTAGTTCAGAATAACAAATGTGATCTGAGAAGGCTCATGGGACAACCAGTGCTGCTGGGAGTGGTTCAGCACTGGAGGTCCTGAGCCTCAGTGCCATCATTAATGTATCTGTTCACTTTTCGATTCCCAGAAGAGAATCTCACATTGGCCTGGCTGGGGCCATTTGCCTACCTACCTCTAGCTGTCACCTATGGCTGGGAACTAGTACACGTTACAGAGAGGGCCACCAGGGGGCCTTCTTCCCACACACCGTAAAACATCTCTAAAAGTCACACAGATAGGCCCAAGAGAAGTAAATTAATTTGCCTAAGGTCACAAGTTAGAGGTAGAACTGGGAATAGCGCTACTCTTAGGCCCAGGCAAAAAGGGCCTCTGCCCTTGGTCCTAGTGCTCCCAAAGACCCACCCTTGGCCTTCTTCCACCCATGCCCTTCTTGAGATCAAGGCTTTGTGTCTACCAGAGCACAATTACCTTACTCTCTTGTTCTAGACCCCACTCTGAATCTTGCTTAGACAACCCTAAGGGTACTCTGCAGGTGTTTTATGGGCTTCTCCCCCGGTCTGCCTCCACAGTGCTGCAGGCTTTGTCCAGTGGCCAGATGCCTAGGGCTGAGGAGCAAATGTTTTTGGTGGGGAAGGGTCAGTGGGCATCCTCAGGTAGAAACCCTTTCAGAGGTGGGAAGAAAAGGGGAGGTAGCTGGGGGTAGGTGGGACATAGACCTCCCAAGGGGTGTGAGAGCTCCCAATTTGACTACATAGTGAGATCTTGTCTCAAAAAAGACAAAACACATCAAAAAATTTACAGTGTTACCATAGTTTTTAATTTATCTCTGGGTGGGGTGAGGGAGAAGAAAAGAAGAAAGACCTGCATCCTCCAAAGGATGCAGATGCCGTCATAGTTAAGAATTTGAAAAAAAAAAAAGAATTTGAAAAGTAGTTGTGGGTTGTACTAAGAATTGTTTTATTTGAATTATTTGAGGATAAGATCCCAACACAGTGCCCCACCTAATACCCCCAAATATTTTAGTCTCTTTTCTCAAGCAGGGTGTTCTCTGTAAACACAAACTAGCCATCACAAGAGAAATCAGATTTATACATCACTGCCTTTTTTTTTTTTTCGGTACCAGGGAATGAACTTTGGTCCTTGCGCTTGGGCAGCAGGCGGTGACCACTGAGCTAAATCCCTGGCTCCACATCACTGCCTTTTAATTGTCAGGTCTTACAATTTTTTTACCAGTTGTTCTAGTAAGTTTTACCAGTTCTAGTAAGATCCTTAACGGTGCCAGGATCCAGTTGATGATCATGAATACATCTGGATTTTCATGACACCTTTGGAAATTACAAGTTGATCATTTTAAAAATCTCTTTTAGTTTATCTGATATTTTCTTGTGATTTGATGCCAGTTATACATCTGTGGCAAGACTATATGGGAATTCATTCTTCCCATTGCATCCTGTGATCTGGCACATGGTTGTTGGTAATGTTAACATCTATTGTTTAAGGTGTCTGCCAGACTTCACATGTGAGGGCCGAGGATTTAGCTCAGTGGTTGTTGTGCCTGCCTCACAAGCTCAAGGTCCCAAGTTTGATCCCTGGTACCAAAAAAAAAATTGTTACTCCTTCTGCCCCCTGCCTTGCAGACTTCGCATTTGAGGTTACTCTTGGCCTTATGTGAATAACATGTATTTTGTGGAGAGGCACTTGACCATGTTAATATCTCATTCCTCATCAAACTTCTAGCTAATTTAGTTAATTGTAGGTCTGCAGACTAATGGATTCCAGTTTATTTAAGATGTTGTTTTATTTATTAGATGGCATTTTTTTATTGTTAAACTGTCCCAGATTTGAGCTGGGTTTTTTTGGTACTGGGGATCGAACTCAGGACCTTGTGGTTGCCAGGCAGGTGTGGTGGCACTGAGCTAAACCCCTGGCCCAGTGAGAGCTTCTTTAAGCTGGCTCCTGTTTGCTCTTGACTTCTGGGAGCACTTCCTTACTTTCTAGCAATAAGGTGTTCCAGGCTCCTCTTATTACCCCCACCCCCACCCCCCCTGCTTTGGATCAGCCATTTCTCTAAGGAGAAATGTTTCTGGGAGTGGGGAGTGGTGATTAGAAACCATGATGTGGAAGTGAAGTGTGCTTGTGTTACTAGGGTATCATTGCTTTTGGGCAGACACAGCTAGTTAGTATTGGGGTGTGTGTGTGTGTGTGTGTGTGTGTGTGTGTGTGTATGTATATATATACACACACAATATATATACACACTCACATATACACATTCATTTATGTATCCATGAATATTAAAAAGGAGTTCACATTGTTATCTCCCAGTTTAGGATTCCTTCTCCTCGCAAATTCTCTTCTGCAGTCAACCCAGCTCCCAAAATTCTCAATAAATACCACTTGTTGCATCAAGCCTCGAGTGTAGTCAGTCTCCCGTTGCTGCCCTGGGGAATGGCTCCCTCGCCTTACTGTGCTCTAATCCTCTGGCCAGGCCACCCAACTCCTGTGGGCACTCTGGCTTTGCTTTGTCCTTTCCAGCAAATGGCTGGGTGGTGGTGTTTTCCCCGCAATTGGGTTTGGACTGAATTATTCATGATAAGGAAGAGCCATGTGCCTTGTATTGGTTACTTTCTAATGTTTGGAGGTAATAAATAATACCTGTTTATTATAGAAAATTAGAAAAATTGTTCATATATATATTTATATTGTTTGTGGGGTTTTTTTGGTTTGGCTTTTTTTTTTTGGTACTGGGGATCGAACTCGGGTCCTTGGACTTGCAAGTCAGGCAGCTGAACCACTGAGCTAAATCCTCAGCCCTATATTGTTTGTTTTTGAAACAAGATCTCACTATGAAGTTCAGGGTAGCTTTGAACTCACTATGTAGCCCAGGCTGCCCTTGAACTTGAAGCAATCCTCCTGTCTCACCCTCCCATGTGCTGGGATTACAGGCATGCACCACCATGTCTGGCCCTGTTTATATTTTAAAATAAAACACATCATTACATTTTTTAGGATAATTTCATTTGGGGCTAAGGAGTTATAGAGCATTTGCAGACTGGGGTTCAACCCCCAACACCAAAGATAACTTGATTTAGCGTTATAAGTTTCAGCCAGACTTCCTGCTACCCCAGGGCTTTTGCAAATGCTATTGTTTCCATAGCCTTTTCTATAGATTTTGTCCCATACTGATTATTGTTTTTCTTACCATTATTGTCATTCATCATCAAACCATTCTTCTGAGAAACATTTAATTTTTAGTTGGTTTTTATTTAATATTATAAAAAATATTTTATTGAATATCTTTAGATGCACATTGTTGCGTCTCACTAGTACAAGTATTTGTGCAGTGTGCATACAGCTAGAATTAAGGGAGTGGAGTGGAGCGCCATGTTGAGGAGCTTGGTCCTCCCTCAGTGCAGGTTGCATGTCTGTCACAGGGTCCTTCCTCATACACGAGGGGCCCACAGCAAGTGCTCGGCAAGCATTTCTTTGATTGAGTGGGCCTCCGCTTCTCTTAATGATCAGTAAAGTTTGAATAATGGAATTTCTTGGGGCTGGGGATTGAGCTCAGTGGTTTCGCCGGCTGCTGCGCAAGTGCAAGGACCTGAGTTCGATCCTTGGTACCAAAAAAATTTTAAAAAATGGAATTTCTGAGATGAAAAAGTTGCTGCTTTGTGGTTTAAAGTCAACACATTTCATCCCTGAGCATTTCTGCCTTTGTTCAACAGAAGGTGGTTTTCTGCCCTGTCAAAGAGGCGCTGGAGGTGAACTGGAGCAGTGAGAAAGCAAAGGCCACTCTGAAGCGCACAACCTCCGATTACTTTCTCCTGCAAGGTGAGCCTGGTCAAGCTCTGCAGGGTGGGCTTTCGACGCACATTGCTGCACATGTGGTGCTTGCTCTGAGTCGAGTCCCTCTCCAGCTGGTTCTTAGTTGGCCCCCCTAAACAGTTGAGTCTGAATAAATGGGGATGGAGCTCAGCATTGAACTCTGCTTTCTGGTGTCCGCTAGAGTTGAACCTTAGAGAAATAGTATCACAAACCCAGCAACTTCTCATCACTGCTTTTCTTTCTTTATAATTCTTCCTTGGCCTCAAAACTAGCATCAGTCTCCCTTCCCAGTCAGAAAACTGCAGAGATGTTTGTGTCTTACCCCCTCCCCCATCGCTATTAATGAGCTACTTTTCAGTCCATCCTTGCTGGTTCTTGGGGAGATATTAGCGAAGTATTGATTGGCTTGTCAATGTTCTTCCTACCAATGTGCCTGGTACTTCTAATTTTTAAAGTATTGTTTAAAATAATTGAAAATATGGAATGATAAACACAAGTTATAGCCGGGGATTTAGCTCAGTGGCACCACACCTGTCTCTCAAGTGTAGGGTCCTGAGTTTGATCCCTGGATCAAAAGAAACACAAGTTATATGTAGTTCAGGCTCGCCTAGGTGATCCTCCTGCCTCAGCTTCTTGAGTGCTGAGATTACAGGCATGTACCACCCCGCCCAGGCCACTCTCCATATTTTAAAAAATTTCCCTCTCCTCTCCCCATCTCCCTCTCCCTCCCCCCCCTTCCCCCCTCTTCCCCCCTCTCTCCCCCTCTCTTCCCCTCTCCTTTTTTGAGACCAAGGTAACCTTAAACTCTTTTTTTTTTTTGGTACCGGAATTGAACTTGCAGAACCGCTGAGCTAAATCCCCAGCCCAACCTTGAACTCTTGATTCTCCACCTCAACCTGGGACTATTTGTGCGTGCCACCACACCTCTCTAACGCTCCCTTTTTTTTTTGGTACCAGGGATCAAACTCGGGTCCTTGCACTTGCGAGGCAGGCAGCAGAACCACTGAGCTAAATCCCTGGCCCTCTAACTCTCCCTATTTTTAAGCAAGGAAACTAAGGGATAGATTAAGGTTACTACTGTTCCCAAGGTTATACAGCAAGTGGGTGTAAAAATATTTTTAATGAGTTTAAAAATAAGTTGTACTTACTGTAGAACATACCAGAAAAGCACAAAGAAGGAAAAGTATTACCTTGACATTTTTGTGTTTTTATGTTTTTTTATGTTACAGTACATGTAGCACAATATTTATACAGGATACTGGAGTCCCTCAGCCACCTACCCCAGCCCTGTCTGTCCACTCCAAGACCTAGGGGAATCTGCGTCTCTGTATAACTTAACTCATTCAAAGATAAAAATAGAGATGTAGCTTTTATTTAGAAAGCCTGAAAAGTATCATTTGATTGCATTTGGACAATTTCCAGCCTCCTTTGCCCTGCGCTAAATAGAACTGTATCCCCATCTTCTTACTTCCTATGCAGATGCCAAGAGAGTCCCTGCTCTGGGCTCCATTTCCAGCAACACACACACCCCCGCCACGAGAGAATACACCAGGCATAGTGGTGCACAACTATAGTCCAGCACTCTAGAAGGGTGAGGCAGGAGAATCACAAGTTTGACCTCCGCCTGGGCAACATAGGGACTTACTGAGATCCAGTCTCAAAAAAGGAGGAAGGTGCTACCTGCCTCACAAGTGCAAGGTCCTGAGTTCGATCCCCGGCCCCCCCAAAAAAGGAGGAAGGGTACTGGGTGATGTAACTCCCTTTATTCAATCCCTAGTACTGCCAGAAAAGGAGGGGGCAGAGAAAGACATATATGACATCCTTAATAACTAGTAAAACGATCAAACTAGGTTATAAGTTTATTCTTTTCTGTGCACAAAGCTTTTCCAGTACTAGTTAATTGTGTCTACAAGATGAGTTAGGGAGCATCTGAGAGGATGAACCGTATTCTAAAGCCCTGGATATCTTCATTTGAATAGAAATAATTAAATGTGTTAAGCAGGAAATGAGTTAGGCATGTAGCTAGGGCAGGCCAGTGGGGCCTGGTGTGTAAGGAAGTTCCACCTGGGGTCAGAGCAGCAACCTGTGCAGTCTGGGGTTCACTGACCACAGTGCCTGGACCATGTAGCAGAAGGGAGTTGTTCAGACCCTGGCACATTGGAAGCCCTCAGGAAACAGCAGCCCCTAACCTGCAAAGGCATGACATGAGCATCTCTAAATAATGTTTTTGAAAGAAGGGACCTGGTACTTGAGTTAACATAATCCAGCGAGTCTCAACTGGGGCTATTTGGCTGTGTCTGCACAGGGAGACATTTTAGCATCTAGTGGGTAGAGGCCAGGGATGTTGGAAAATACCCCACACTGTTGGGCAGCTCCCATGACAAAAAGCTCAGGAGGCTGAGCCAGGAGGATTGCAAATTTGAGGCCAGCCTGGACTACATAGTGAGACCCTGTCTCAAAAACAAAGGCAGTAGTGCTCAGATTGAGAGGCCTGATTTAACCCTCTGCAGTTGCCATATTATTTTTTCATCCAGCTCAACTTTGCAGCACCCTCCTGAGGTAGGTGTGATAGAAATGATTCCCGTTTGTTTTCTTGAATTGAGGAAATGAGAGGCACAGATTGTAAATGGCAAAGGAGGGAGGACTTAAGTAACCCAGTTGTTTGAAGTCTGATTAACCAACTTGTAAGGACTGAAGTAAGGAGAGCACACAGGGCCATTCCTAGTGATCCACATGTACATACCGCATTGAATCTTTGCAGCATTGGTGTGAGATAGTGATACACCTCATTTATAGATGTCTTCGAAGGCTCAAGCTCATGAAGACCCAGATACCGTGGCTGTCCCTGCTTTCAGCAAAGCCACTGAGCTAAGAATGCAAAACCAGTACCTTAGGACAATAGGGGACAAGTGCAGATTTATTGGCCATGCTGCTAACGATCACACCAGCAGAAGCTACCAGGGGCTGAAGGAGGAAGCAGTACCACTGTAACATGACCCATGTGGCAGGCAGTGATGTGTGGATGTTCAGAACAGGAGCTTTGGGATTAAAACAGATCTGGCTTCCAGTCCTGGCTCTGCCATTACATTATATTGTATTGTGTGTATATGTATATATTTTTTATTTGTTTGTTTGTTTGTTTGAGACAGGGTCTTGCTATGTAGTTCAGACTGGCCTTGAACTCAGTATGTATGTAGTTCAGGCTGGCCTTGAACCCCCAGCGATCCTCCTGCCTCAGTCTCCTGAGTGCAGGGATTACATGCCATTTTAAAAATTATTTGTTTGCAGCCAGGCATGGTGGCACAGGCCTGTAATCCCAGCACTTGGGAGGCTGAGGCAGGAGGATTGCTGGGAGTTCGAGGCCAGCCTGAACTACATAGTGAGACCTTGTCTCAAAAAACAAACTTGTGGGCCGGGGATTTAGCTCAGTGGTTCTGCCCTCTGCCTTGCAAGTGCAAGGTCCTGAGTTCAATCTCCAGTACCCCGCCCCCCCCCAAAAAAACTTGTTTGCTTGTTTATTTGCAGTGCTAGGGAATCTAACCCAGGGCCTTAGTATGGTAGGCAAGTGTTCTACCAGTGAGCTACACCCACAGCTTCCCCTTTTTTTTGTTGTTTTTTTTGTTTTTGGTACCGGGGATCAAACTTGGGTCCTTGCGCCTGGTGAAACCACTGAGCTACATCCCCTGCCCACGCCTTTTTTTTTTTTAAAGATGATTGCTCTTGAGCCATTGGCTTAAATTCCCCTGGGCCTTAGCATCTGTCTGAAGATGACACCATTAGCAAGACTTGTCTCAGAGGGCTTTTGTGTGGCTTGGATGATGGACAAAGAAAATACCTAGCATAGAACAAGCCTTAAAGGATAGTATGGACTGAGGTGCTTCTGTTGGCATGTATATTTGCAACTACATAATAGAAGTTTGGGGATTGACTCAGTTTACCCTTAATTTCATCCTTCAGCAGGTGTTATGGCAACAATAGTGTTGGATTTTAATTTTCTCCCTGTGACACTGTTGGAAAACATATCCCATATGTTTTCAGTCTCTTGTCCAAATGGTTCTTGTAGTTCCAAGTTCCAAGGTGTTAGATACGGTGATTAAATGTTTTGCTTTATTTTGTTTTTTTGAGACAGTGTCTTGCTTGCTGTACAGTTCATGTTGGCCTTGAACTCAGTATGTAGCTCAGGCTAGTCTTGAACTCAGAGATCCTCCTGCCTCAGCCTTCCAAGTGCTGGGAACCTGTGTGCCACCATGCCCAGCTTAAAATTATTGGTTATAGGGTTTTTGTTTTTGTTTTTGTTTTTGTTTTGTACCAGGGCTGGAACTTGGGTCCTTGCAGTTGTGGGGCAGGTGGCAGAACCACTGAGGTAAATCCCCAGCCCTGTTATAGAAATTTTTTGACTTTTAACCTTTCTATATTTT